AGGGCAAAACCTGCAGAGTGATGGCCATCATTCTTCCAATGGGGAAGATACAGGTGCAAGCAAACACCATGGTTATGTTGCTTGGTTGGTCTCAGAACAAACCTGTTCGAGCTAGGAGTAGCCCTTAGCCCCAGCCAAGATGTTGTACTGCAAACCATCCATGTCATGAACTGGAAAGTCCTCTGCAACAGGCTTATCAAGGTATGAATCTTCCCAGCATTGCACTGGTATGGCAGGCAGCAGGGAGGCCTTAGATAAACAGAAGGATTTCAAGGGAGTCTTCAGGGCACTGCAAGGGAAGGGCAACACGCAAGATCTGTGATAAGGTAAGTGAAGGAGCAGAGATCAGGTGAGAACGCCAAGCAGCATAACACTCGGAGCAGGGACGGGGTGCAGGAAAGGGGACAATTGGATCCCTGAGCTTAGTCTTGGAGCAGCTCGGTGAGTTTTGGATTTCTGCAGAAACCGGTTTTGGGGCTAAGGGAGGATGCGTCACTCGCTCCAAAATCAATCTTGGAGATCAGCTACAAATCAACCAAAACCAACACAACTGGCAGCACTTCCTGAGCGATGTCTCCACTCTTCAGTGCAAGTTGTCTCAGAAGCTCTCGGCCAGGCTCCAGAGGTGGGAAATGGCCCCTACGTGGAAGGTAGGTCCTATTTTAACATCCAGGCAATCCATGGGCAATTGCACCTTGCAGAAGCAGCCACTTGCAGAAGACATTTTCCAGGAGCCCCAGGGCTGCAGCTGCTGCTCCCATGTTCCCTCCATGGCTCCGTGCCCCTGCTCTCCATGACCAAGCTGGAGTTGCAAACGCAGCCGCTTCTCCCCAGCTTTCATATCTCATCTCGAGCCAAGGTCCTAGAGTTTTCCAGGACATGAAGCTGTTTTGGACCGCCTTTGCCTGCGGCCCCGTTTGTCCCCTCACTGTGCCTGGCGCCAGCATGTCCCTGCAAGCCCCATGTCCCCTCCTGCCAGGCAGCAGCCCTGTCACAGGACAACTTCCCTAGCAAAGGGCCAGGCTGTCCCCAGGCTCCCACCACCTCTGTGCAATGGGCCAGGGAGGAGGCTGCAGCAACCTCAGCAAAGAGGGAGGTGAAAGAGGGGAGGGAAAATGAGCACGGTTTTAAGTAACGGCTGGTGGATCTCTCCCTTACTGCTAGCCCTGCTTAAAAAGCTAGTCTACAATTTCTATAAATTTAACACAGTTCAGAAGAGACACGGAAAACATTTTACAGTTGCAGAGAGCACGCAGAGAGGGAACATGGGCTAGAGTAGGAGATGGCACAGGAGCTGCACAGGCAGAGATGCAGCTTTGCCTCCAAGCATTCAAGCCTGATATTGCACCTGGGTGGCAGTAGCTAATTTGGTGCTCTCGCACAGGGCTCCGCTGTTTGTAAATTGAATTTGCAGGTGCAAGACTGAGTAGGGCATGCAGAGGGGTAATGTGTGCGCACACACACACAGGTGCAAGTATGCCCACAGGACAGGGAGCACAGGACAGCCCAGGGCAACGCGAGATGGCCAGGATGGAAGGGGCAGGAGCTGAACCTAGACCCATCTGGAAGCAGCCATGTGTCCCTACTTCGCATCTCACAACTGGGAACTTCCCACATCTCCTGCCTCAGTGATGCTCTTGGCCACAGCTCCAAGATGACACATCAAGACGAGGGGAAGTGGCGGATAATGCTCCAAACAGTTGTCTCCATATCCCTCCAAGTGACCAGCTCCAGACTCCAGCCAAACAGCTGGCAGGGCTGAAATACCTGGAACTCCAGAAGGAAGGACAGCGATGGGCTGCTGAGAGCTGCAAGATCTGGAAAGCATCACTTGGATTTAATGGAACTTTATGTTTGAAAATTAAATCAAGGGAGCTCTTTTCCTTGCCACAGGGTTGTACGTAACTGAATGCTAGCAGGATTTAGAAGGGAAGAGCTTTTTAGAGTGCAGTTTTTTAATGAGGACCAAAATAATGATAAAAATAACTAGCAGGGGGGAAAGGGAGCTGAATGCATAGCACACAAACGTCAAGCTCCAGCTTCTCTCAAGAGAGACATAATAAAAGCATTTAACCTATTATATCAATTAGCAGTATCATTTTCATGACTGAAAAGAAACTCATTCTTGGAGGCAAGCTAATTTCATAAATGCTCCGCATTCAGGTGCTTCAATAGGCTGATCATTTGTGGTAAAAGATTTGAGATTTTAACATACATCTGCACATGGCTTAGTGAGAGTTGCAACTGGTGAGCTACGTCTCTGCAGATAAAGTGACATTTCCATAGAAACCCACCAGGCCATCGTGCTCCGATGTGCGACGGAGATGTGGACAAGACCTGGGCATTCCCAGTTGCTCCGCTGGGCTGGCGCTGGTACCCCGGGAAGGGCACGGGGAGATTTGGTTGAACACTCACTTGGCAGCCCAGGGCAGCGCAGACGCTCGCCCTGTCACGCGGTGGTGGGGAAGCTCTCTGGCCGCTGGTGCAGATGAAGGCTGCAGGCTAGGTATGAGCAGGGCAGAGAAGAGGAGGAAAAGGATGCATGCAGACAAAGGATCAACAGGACAAAATCCCTCATCAAAGACCCTGGGGGTAAGGTTGGAGCGTGCCAAGGAGCCCTACTACCACTGTGAGGCCAGAGCTGGAAGTAGGGCTTATCTGGACCTGAAAATTAGATGCAGCTGCCACCCAGAATAGCATTAGGTCCTGAGGAGGGCCCAGAAGATTTACAGACAGAGCAGAGACACCATCTCATCCTGCTTGTGCACTCAAGCAGTCAGAACCAAAACACAAGTCACCAAGGTCAAAGTGCCTCCCCCTTCCCTGCTCTTCGCCAAACACACTGGGGAGTTATTCAGGGATAGGCGAATGCCCAGAAAAACACTGGACACGTCAGCCAGGGACAGCGTTATCTGGTTTGCCCCTCATCTTCTCGACTGTTTCCTCCCCAGCACATGCTGCTCCACCTGGTTTCCCCACCCCAGACAATTCCCATTACCTCCGATTCGACTGTCACAACCACAGCTCAGCTCCATGTGACCGTGTCACCTGTTCATCCCCGCTCCTGGATGCAGCAGGCAACCACGAGTTCTGCTCATGACCCCATCACCACTGCCAAATCCACCTTCCTCGCTCTTCCAGCACTGGGGCTCTTATCCTCTTGAAACAAGAGAGCTCCTCTTATTTCCTCACTTAAAGTTTCCCTTAACTAATGTAAGTAGTTAAATGCCTGTATCATAACAATCCCCCCAAAAAGTTATCTGTTGGAGAGAAGACCATGAAAAGAGCACAGAGGAGCTATTTACAACTCTTGAAAGACCTAATGATACTAAAGATTAAATTAACATATATAAAGTAGTATGAGTAGTGCTACAGATTTTCATTCTTCCTTGGATGGAGGAGTCCTGCCTGCTGTACCAGCACAATGGCACTCCTCAGCCCTGGGGGAAGAAGTGTGAAGAGGTTTATATTAGACCTGCAAAAGCAAAGCTATCGTCATCACCCCCTCTCTGGTCTTGCCTTTACAAGTGCTCTTTGCATTGCTCCCCCTTTTCTAAACGCAGGCACTGAACACTCCACGTGACTGCAAACCTAAGCCTTTAAGCAGTCACCACGCAATGATTTCCCCACCGACTCCCCTACCCCAAACATACAATACATACAACAGCTACAAATCACAAAACACTTCCCTGCCACTCCTGGTAAACCTTGCTGTGCTTCCCTATGACCAAAGCAGAAATGAAGACTCCTGGTTCCTTTGCCTGTGCCAAAGAAATAACAGCCATTGCCCCTGTAAAACGCCGAAAGCATTGTAAAGGCAAAGCAGTAATAGGCTCCATCAGCCTGGATTATATTTTTTTTTGTCCAATTTCAAATGTGTCAGTATCATACATACCTGAAAGAACACCACTGTGTTTCTTCTCTATTGGGGAGAAAAAGAGTTAATCACAAACTGAAAAGACCCAGATCCCATTTTTCTGCTCGCCTCCTTTAGCAAGTAAAAGCAGAGCTGCAGGATAATGCAGCTGCCCCCAATGAGGGCAACTTAATTGATAGCAGTTTCCTGTGAGGCACTAAACTGCCCTTCCTGGGGAAAGCAGAACCACAGGCCCCAAGCACCCAGCTAAAGAAAGACTGCTGGCAGTTAAATGCTTCCTTTCTGCATTGTTTCTTGGTGTTCTTTGCAAACATTTTTAATCCACAGAGTGAGTCTGAGCAAAACCAAAAGCTTGGCTCTAGGAATTGTAGCTATTAACCGAGATTATGCAACACACTAAGAAATGCAGCAATGCTTAATGCAGAGAGGCAGCCATTAATCCTCAGATGTCCTCATAAACTGCAGACTCATTTCTTACTCAAGAAAAAGAAAAGAAAAGGCATGTGGTAAGAGGCAATAAGATTGGCCTAGGTGCCTGGCCAAGAGTAAACAGGAATCAAGATACTTGCTTATTATTATTACAGTGTTTTCTTCTTGCTGTGCAAGCTAAAGTTCTTCCTTTAGTGAAAGCAGCCGGCTGAATGAACTGGAAAGAGAACACACGCCAGGGAACGGCCGCGTGGCCGGGTGACGCCTCTGTCACCTACAGCCTCTGCATCAGTAACTGCGAAAAGCAGCAACGCTAGGGGATGGGTTTTCTCCCTGGTACCAGTGTTATAAAACACAAAATTATTAACAAAGTGCAGATTGGGTATCATTTGCATGACAAAAATATATAAAGCCAAGACTCTCAGCTCTGTTGCTTCGGTTAATTCAGCTTTAATTCCTCCCTACTGTGAATTCTGACAGTCTGGCCCAGAATATTATTACACTAAGAAAACACCTTTTTGAGCCCTGGGGCAACTTTATTTAGTTAAGGTTGTAGTTTTAAATAACTAATCTACAGCCAAAGATCAATTAGCATTAGAGAGTCTATGTCATTTATGCAATTTGGTCTCTTTCTACGTACGTTAAAGTCATATGCCCTAAAAAACCCAGAATTGATGACAGCAGCCAAGGATGAAAATTAATCAAGATATTTAATACAGTGCAATCCATAGTAGTTTCTTAATTAAAATAATTGTGTGCATGTATCTGAGTGAGTTATCAATTATCACAAAAAGCAATAAACATTGTAATACTATGTAGAAAAATGTACAGCTGAATTTTCATTCTTCCCTGGTTCCAAAACAGCATTTGTCCATTGCAAATCATTATCACCAGTTAAAATGGGAATAGTGACTACGTTGCTGCAGTGACAAACACAAAGCTGGCCACACATCAGTCAAGGTATATAAATATAAATTGCAAAGAACTAAAAATCTAAAGCACCTAAACACAATAAGAAGCCGGTGGTGGCTTGTGACTTTTCCTTTTTTTTTTTTCTTTTTCTTTTTTAAAATGCCTTACGAGACTTCTAGACACAATTCACCTGACTTAAAATTACATACTGTTTTCAGCTTTTTTCCATTCAATATGGCCTAAATTTTAAAAGAAAAAGATCCAACAGTGGCATTAACATAGTCCAAAATCTGAATGTTCATTTTTGCAAATATCTTTTTACAGAAATTCAACCGCTTAAACTGCAGACAATTCCCCCTGCTCCCCTTTCTTTCCTTGTGCAGCCCATGCTATGCAGAAACAGCAATGCAACTCCCACTGCTTTGGGTAAAAATTAAAGATAAAGAAATTTTGCTTTTACTTTCTTCTCAACACAACACATTTGCACCCAGAATAGGCAACCAAAGTCTTTTTTTCAGCCAGTTACTCATGTCATTACATAGTTTGTGCCCAAGATTCCAGCTCTTTCATGTCATCATCCTCTTCCTCTTCTTTCTTCTTGCCTGCTAAAAAAAAAAAAAAAAAAAAAGCAATGACTTAGAAGCGGAAACCTTGACAGTATCCCACAATTACTTGATTTTTTGCAGGACAAAAGTCTCCATGCAACTTAAACTAACCGCTGCAACATCAAATTAGAGAAAAAGAAAACAGACAAGACCTTCTTCAATTGAAATAAAAGTTACCTTCTGAAAAAGACCACAAGAGAATGAGCTTTTTGATGTGCTTTAAAGGGAAAAAGAAAATTGCTTAACTGGGTGAAATGCAAACATCCATGTACACATCCAAATCTCTATCAGCACTGTCTATCATTCTGTCTTCAGCAGCAAGTATTAAAGTAGAAAACTCTGAGGTTTTGGCTTTTGTATTCCATCTGGGGAACATACTTTCTCACAGAGAGAGATCTCCAGCCTCCAGTTTTGCAAGTACTCTTTTTCCACTCACACTCAAGAATGGCGTGTGCCCTTCTAAATGAAACATTTCAGTAAGAGGGAACAGGGCGTCAGCCTAAACTCAAAACTTTTTATTTGTTCAAGGATTCAACAAGGATTTGTTTTTTCTAAATTAAGCTGTTTTCTGGTTTCTGTTAAATAAAAGCAGCTTTTGCTTGAATTACTTAAGAGATGTTTAGCTGGCAGGTAATAGAAAATTTCTCTCATTCAGACTAAGTCCAAATCCAGACAGCTACTGTGAACCAAAACAGCAGAAAAGCTTGTGATCAGCTTCCATTCAACAGAAAAGGAAGTAATGGAATCAGCTCTGCTTCAGAGGACAAACTTTTTAAAAGAAGTATTAATCACAGACCCATATTGTTAGCTAAATCTGACCCTTTAAAAATCTGACTCCCTGATCAAAAAAAGCCTTTAATCCCAGTATATATACTAAATGAAAAAAATATATTAAAAAATAAGGAAAAAATCCCTCCCTCATTCCAAATCCCAAAATTCTTCTAAATGCAGCATTTGTCTGGAGGCCCAACACCACACTCCCCAAATAAAAGGCAAGTAGCACATTGCTTTAATATATTAATGGATTTCCACTTTCAATCCAAATGCAGCTTAACATAAATCCTGACAAAAAAAAACTCATCTAGTAAGTAAACACATTTATAATTGTTACAATATGTATTATGTTAGGAAATTCTATGTTTATATAAATCTTTTATTACACTGTATAGTTGCTTAAGTATTTATGTAACTATAATACATTTGCCTAGAAAGCAGTCATTACTACTTAAAAAAAAAAAAAAAAGGCTTAGCTTCAAGTCAGTGTTTTAATGTCCATGCCCAGCAAACATACAGCAAATAAACCTCATTAAAACAGTTACGAAATATAAATCTATTTTCCCTGCTACAGGATCTTACTGTGGATCAAGTCTCCGAGTTAAGATATTTTGACCTAACTCACATCCCTGACATCAGCATTTCTGAATAAAACGACCAGCTCCCTGGCAGTGAACTTCACAGCACACCATGTAAAGCAGAACCTTCTATGTGAACGACTGCTATTGGACATGTTCTCATTGGCCATGAAAATGCAACAAGATAATTACAGATAATGTCAACCAAGTGAGACAGTATTCACCCTCTATATTTTTTTTGAGGATTTTTCTTTCTTGGGCAAATAAACTAAAGAGCCACAAATTACACAACTTACTTATAATACATTGAAGGGGATTCAGCAAAACAAAGTAGTAAAGCTTCATATTCCATTAATGTATGCCAAAGATATTACATCTCAGCTATAATTCATGAGACACCCCTTCCAGTTCACAGAAGAGTGATTAATTTGGATACAACAGCAGCTTTGAATTGCCTTTGTAAGTACAAACATTTCTTGCCCATTCTCCACATTGTACCATCATCACCACCATAAGCAGAATTTCCTAGATGTAGATGCACTAAGACTAGTATAAGCCTAACTTGGGTACTGTCTAGCTTGAGCACATGTGCATCTTAACTAGAGGAGCCCACAGCTGCCCTCAAAGAGGGGACACTGATGACAACAGCTCAGGTCCTCCCAAAAGCCATAAAAGCAGAGACCAGATAAAAAAAGATACAATTCAGGAAGCTGGGTATTTGAACCACCCCAAGACTGTTTACAATGAATAAGTTTTACTTTGCTCCCTCCCTTTTTTGTTCTTGGTCTGTTTTTCAAGGTTACCTCCCTGATGGGTCTAGAGCAATGGGCTGAATGCTCTCTCCAGTTTCTTTCTTCTGCAGCTCCAGCTCTATCTAAGTCTCACTCATGATGCAGATAAACTGGAAGTGCCAGAATACATGATATGCGTTCCTATATGCTATCAATTTTCATGCATCAAATGGAAAGCAGGTTACCCCCTGGAGAGACAGCACTAGATAGATGTACCTCTTCATTCCCTAATCAATTCCATGTAAAATGTCTATCTTTTTGACAGCTAGGACTCTCAAATCTGCAGAGCTAGTAGTTAAACAAACGTATTTGATAACAAACCAAGGTGCTTTTGGTAAAGGTTGATACATACCTGGCTTTGATGGTATCGATATTGAGGGCACATTTGGTAGTGGCACAGTCTCAGGACCACTGATTTCCAGCAAGTTTTTGTCTAATTCTTCTTGCTCTAGTTCCTCTAGTTCTGCCATGAGTTCATCCTAGTTTTATAAAGAAAAAACACTCTAGATCATATTTTTTATCAAGCAGATGTCAATGGTCATGTATTTGCACAAAATATTTAAAGTCAGAAGCTCAGAGCAAACTGAAAAGATGGTTCTGAATCTTCATTTGAATTCCTGTACCTGCTCTCTTCTGAGGAGTGATGGAAGAAGCATTCAAGAAGAAAGAAAAAAATAAATCCAAATACTCTCCAACTAGACTATGCAGATCATTCTTAAGCAATAAGTCAAAATGGCAACTGTTGTGCACACAGGTAGAAGTACCATTGAACAATTTGTAGAAGAGATATTATATACTCATATTACACCTAGACACCTGCAACATGCAGATCTTGAAAAGGACTGTTATTTAGACCGAAGAACATTCAAAGCATACCTCATCAAATTCTTCCCCAAATCCTACGGGTTTTGAGATGGCTGTTGAAATCTCATCTGCCAGTTCTTGCTGTTCTGCAATGTCCTGCATTAATTCATCTACTTTATCAATATCCCTGTAAAACAAATTAAAAGATCAAGCAATCAGTGCAAATCAAGCACTTTCCTAATCTCGCCCAATACTTAAGATTGTATTTTCTGGTTTTGTAACAACGCCATATCATGTTACAATACACACTTGGAATACAAGACCGAGTTTAATAACCCGGAGTCACAGCAAAATTATGCATATATATAAAAATATATATGTGTGTATATATACATGCAACGCTGCTCCCTAAAAGCTCATGGCAGTAATATGCCAAGACTTCACATAAAGAGGTTTTATTCTGTATTATTAGCATTAATCATTATTTGCTGTATTCCCTGATTGAGCATTATTATACTGCTTCTACAATATTTGATTATGGAGTAAGTGCAACACTCCTCTAATGCAGTGTATCCTTAATTACTGATACATAAACAAGATCTACTGCAGAGCTCCACTGCATAGGGAAAAGAAGCACAACCCTCCCTTTGATGCTTAAAACCTTTGCTGCTACTAGGGGTATTTGTAACTCATAAACGCTCATTTACTTCAGAACTGCACTGCCAGTGTCTTTTGTTGGAGAGAGCATTTACAATGAACAACTTCTCACCATAAGAAATGTTGCCAAACTGAGAAGTGTTCGTATTTCACATTTTAGTCGATAAGCAAATATATGTAGCACTGTAGTCACATTTAAGTTCTGGTCTTTTGCAACTCTAGCTGTATTGCTGATTATAAACTGCTTAGCATTCAGCATATCAAATGAACCACGGACTAAAGAGGTCATATGCAATGATGCTGAAGGGAATGACTTACATGTTGTCGTGAGCAGCTTTCATAGCTTTTGCAGCAAAACCCATATTCTTAAGGACCTCGGTGTTAGTGTTAGCATTTTCAAGGGCTTCCCTCTGAAATTCAATCGTTGATAATGTGCCATCTATTTGTGCAAGCTGCTTCTCGTACCTCTTCTTGCGCTTTAGGGCTTGAAGGGCAGCTGGACAAAAAGTTTAAAAGTTAGGATTTGTGAGATTTGTGCTCGGAATAACTTCTGAATTTTGTACCAAGCACCTCTTAATACAGAACAATGTTTCACATGTTCTAATTTTTGACATCTACTTCGTTCCTAAATTAAGTAAATCTATTGCATTTGCCTCCTTAAACAAGGTTAAGTTTGTTAAAATACTTCTGTCTGCTTCCCTAGATGCAGGAAGGAGATGAGCCAGGCAGCAAAACTTCTGGGCAACAGCTGTGAGAAGAAAACTCATTCAAATACAAGCCACATATTTCTTTGCCTTCACTTCTTAATGCTATGATATATATAAAATGTATATGTACGCATATTTGTACAAATAAATATTAACTATATAAACATGCACACAGATATATACGGTTAGCCAGGGCACCTGGTAGAGCCCATACAGGGCAGCACCACCACTGAGGTCTCCAGCCATGGGAGGGCAGGGGCAGCAGGACCGGTCCAGCTCGTTTCACAGCAAGGTTTCTCCAGCTCCTCCTGCAACGCGTCGCTGCCCCGAGCGGACAAGTTCGCAGCCAAGCCAGCGGCCAGCTCATCCCCAGGAAAAGGTCAAGGACTGAACCACGGTTTAAATGACGAATGACTGTGATTTAAAGGTCATGGTGGGAAACCTGACTGATGGTACTGAGCACTGCTGCGCGACTAGACACGGTAACTTCCTCCATCGAGCTGCATTTCTGGCCAGCCACAGGCAGGCCGAGGGCTTCTCCAAAGCCAGGTACACCAAATTCCCTTTACAGTATCTCTGCTTCCTTTCTCCTGTACAAGCTACTTGTTCTCCGCCAAAGCACAGACTCGGTCATTTTTTATTTGCTTTAAAAATTTAAGTGGGACAGCTGGTTCAGCGACACACACATCTCACACGAATGTGTACTCTGCAGCAAACCAGCGGCCTGGACCTCCTCACGGAGCAGTCACACGTGCCCCAAGAATGAGAGTAAATAAAGACTTCAAGTCACGGTGCAAAACCTTTAAGCCGTTATCTCAAAACCTTTGTTTCCTCATCCCTTTTATGATTCCACAACAGATTTTTATTTTAATTTCTGGAAAGCAATAGAGGAGAGGAAGCTTGACAGAACACAGCTTTCCTCATCTCCACTGCTAGAGGAGTGACAACTTTGTGACGTGCCGAGTACGCTCATGCAACACAAGCAAACTAGCTTGTCTCTGAAGATGGGATGGAGCCTGCAGGCACCTCGTGCATCCTCACATGCCATCGTGAGCAGCTCGACAGTCCTGCAAGATAAGATCCTGGCATTGCAAAGCCTTACTCATTCCTGCGGTTCCAAAACTGGCTAGGAATATGCTACATCTCCTTACCTTACTCTAAGGTATTAGAGAAGAAAAAATTGTGAGGCTACAGTTAAGTTGGCCAAGCAGTTTCAAAGTACCAAAGGATGGAAAACAACCCTAATCAGACACTTTCCCTCCTGGGACTATGAAGTCCTCCCTGCTGGGGCTGATCCAATATTCGTTTACAACGGCAGCAGTTTTTCATTTCACCCGAGCGGGAACCAGAGCAGGGTTTTGTGCAATGCAAAAGCCAATGTTGGCACTGCAGAATCAAGCACAACACAAATATTACCAGAAGGGCTTCTGGTTACAAAGCGAGAAGCAAGATGTTATTGGAATATTTAACCATTTAATATCTCATTGTTTCATTTAGGCTACATCAAGTTATTTTACTCAAAATGAGACTGGGAATAGATTGTGTAGATAGTGACAGCTGCTACAAAGAAGCCAGACAGTGCCCAAGTGCTGGATATTGAGGACTTTGGGCATCGCAGAAGATTGTTGACAAGACCCAAGGTTTTATAACCAAACCATTACACATGAGTCAAGTAAGGTACTATAATTCACATACAGTTTCCCCAGCATAGAATAGCTACAGTTTATCTACATTTGACAATCACGTGCTTTTGAAATAAGCTGCTCAGGTATTGAACATTGCACACATGAATGTAAACAAGCTGGATGAGCTTGTGACGAGCAGTGTTTATCAGAGCTGCTGGGCAATCCCACCCCTCCCTTCCCCACGCATGCAAGTCCAAGGTACGAGAATCGCATTTCCTGGACTTCACTTTCTTGCTTGCGTTTTATAATCCCTCCCATGTGGTGAGCATCTCGCTTGTAGATAAGGCTCCTGCTCAAGAAAACCTCGGGGATGCATCTAAATAAAAAACTCCAGTGGACAAACTCTCACAGACTCAAAGAAACGTAGGACTACGCAGCCAGCTTCTGTGTCAGGACAGCTCTGGAGAAGTATTTAACATAGGCCAATCAGCATCCAAGCTATAAGTGAGTTTCTGCAATGAAGAAAGTCTTACACAACAGATTGCAGCTTCTCGTGGCTAAAAGCAAAATATCTTGTAGAACAAGATCCTCAGTGGGTCAAATCAGACGACTGCAACTTCTGAAGACTTTTTTTTCCAGCTGTGTCTCCTGGCATAACTATCTTGTTTTTCATGCAAAGTCCTAACTAGAACATTTTATTAAACTGAAAAGATAACAAATTGCCAAGTTAAGTGAGGTCACTCACATTCACTTCATCCTGCAAGCTTTAGTGATTCATTTCCCTGGTATTCCTCCCCTTGCACAGGAATGGATGGGCATTTTACATTCAGAAATTTCCCTTTTGTCATTGCCAGTCGAGCCGTTTCACCACCTCAGCATCCCCACCCAAGTCAGGAGGCAAACGCCGTTCGGAGAGTGTTTTCCTGCCTGACTTCCCTTCACATCACTTGGACGAGGCTGCCGTGCTCCAAAACAGACTCTTCTACTTGGGATCTGCCTCGGCTACTAAAACAAATCACCAAATAATCCTTTCTCTGCATTGCATATTACAAAAGCAAAGCTAAGAAGTTTCTTCTCTGCTATTTAAGAGTTGATTTTTGAAAACCAGTGGACGACTCTGTTGCCTACACCAAACCCCTTGTCCTGCTCTTCAGCCAGTCTGTGGGGGAATCCCCTTGTGGGTGAATACACAAACTTGAGCATTCTGCTCAGCTGCGACCCGAAATAAAGCAGAAGAAAAATAAAATTTTACTAGATAATTATTCTGCCTGAAAGCAATATTAACTACAAACGTCTTGGTGATTTCATTAAAAAACAGCTCAACTGCAAGCAAGTATTGCTTAAGTGCTTGCAGGACAAGTAGCCTTACTGGGATATTTATGCATACAGCAATTCCATCAAACTAATGCTTTAAAATATCATTAGAAGAAAAAAAAATAGAAGAAAAAAAGCAAGGAAGAAAAGACTCCTTTCCTATATACTCATAATCCCAGATTTGGTAGGAAAGCAATTGTTTAAACTTGAAAAGACTGGAAGGACGAATTGCTTCAAAGAGTACTGGTAAAAATGGAATAAAATTCAGGAGTTTGACTGAATTCAAAAACATCCACACGTTTGTGAACCCTGGCTCACAGTGTGTTCACCTACTACTTAACCATCTCCTATCACTGCTATTGGGTGTTACAGTTTAAAAAAAAAAAAAAAAGGAAAAAAAAAAGAAAACGCAATAAGAGATACATAAGATAGAAAAACATCTCATTTTCTAGAATCAACAGTTAACAGCTCTGACCAGTGCAGCAGAGAAAGATCTAGCCCCACACCTAGTTTTTAAGTTCTCTTTAGCAAATGAGAGCAGAAATAACAAAAGCAGATACACTGCTATGTAGAGGACCGACTGCCTTCGTATGGGATAGAAAAATTCTCCAACTGCGACAAAATGACATGAATCAGCCACCAGTCATGCCAAAATAAATAGTGCAAGAGAGCAGCAGAGGAGCTTTGCAAATAAGCGTCTCGGGCCTACAGCAGAAAGCCTAGATGAAAGAGATGACTGAGATAATTACTTGGATGCAGCCCTGTGCCACATGCCCTAGGTGACCCTGCATGTGCAGCGAGGTTGGACTAAATGATCTCCAGAGGTCCCTTCCAACCCTAATGATTCTATGATTATCCAGGTCTTGCACAGCAGATTAGAGATTCCATCTTCAATTTGGTCAATGAAAGGCATCACCATTATTGTTGCTGCTTCTGAAAGAGCAATTCTGTCTTTCTGACATTTACCCAGGCAGAAAATTTAATCGACAGCATCCTTGCTGTCATTGCAACAAGACAGATGAGCAGCGTTAGATCTAAGGAGTAATTTGCTGCCTTGACAGCAGTACCGTCACAGCAGCTTCATCTCAAGCAGCAGTTGCAAATCTCTCAATCCCTTCAGAATTAGCAAACAGCCTGTGATAAACTTCCCAAGAAGAGAGAGGATAACTTAAAGCAATTCACAAAATAGACTCCAGTATTACAAGCAGATAAAAAAACAGATATAAATCCAATAGTGATAAATCCCCAATAGACAGTTTTACCTGCTTTCAAAACACAAAGTATAGTCTTGGAAAAATGCACTTCTATAAGGATATGGTAGCTCAAGAAACTGTTAGGTATAACACATCTGTGCTGGCTCAACCCTGGCTCAGAACAGGGGCAGTCAGGCAACATTAACTTGCCACAATACATCTGCAAAGAATATCTAGAAACACTCCTCTCGACCAGTTTTTGTTGGTTGGCCTTCCAAGGAAGGAGATGGGAACTTTTGACTCTACTGGCATCCCTAAGGGTCCTACAGAGACCTCCAGAACTTGTCTGGAAAGTCAGACGAGTTTGGGGTACAGCAATGAAAGAGCACCTTCGTCTTGCATGCTTCTACCTGAGCATTGCTGTTTGCGTGAGGCTCTCGCACCAGTATTACAAATACATCCTGCTTTTCACCAGCTCCAAGAAAATCTGGCAAGGACCCTCATCTTTGCAGGATTTCTCTAAATGAGAAGATACACAAGTCCGTTGGAGACAGGAACAATGTGTAGACCTTGCACAGGGCACTGGCTGTAAAGGAAGAAATGCAGCACAAAAATGACTGCTACATAAATGACTAAGCAGCTACCCACTATTTAAATATCTGGACACATCCAGCCAACCAAAAGCAAGATGTGTCAAAGGTTCAAGGATGAGTCGGCTTTGATTTTAAGGACCACAGTGTGCAAATATTTCAGAGACATGGAGGTACTAACAAATAGCATGGTTAAATTCAGTTGCTATTAACTTCCAGGCTACCAGTGCAAAGCAGCATCACTGCTTCTCCACTGAGAATTAGGATTTATAAACGTTATATTCAGGAATAAAACTCACTTTATGCTGAATATCTACAGCATTATCATGTCCATGCCCCTGATGCTAGGGCTTAGGGTCTCTAACAAAGCTCCAAGAGCTGGCAACAGCCTTGTATCCTTCATCTGGGGAGATGCCCCCAAATTTTCTCTTTAAAGACATACAACTATTCCCAGCACCAAGTTCAATCAACCAATTAAAGGTTTTTCAAAAAAGCATCTAAACTTGGGGAGAAAACATAAGGAGGTTTCTCTACCCCACGTGCATTTAAAATAGCAAGATTACAACTTCCTCTGGAGCCAAGCAGCGCAAGAACATAAGATCTACTGTGCAAAAGATCAAATTGAATTAGGACTCTTGATCTAAAAATGTAAAACACACAAGGAAGAAAATGCAGGGAGCCTTCCCGCACGGCGGCGAGCGGAGCTTTGACGCGAGCTCCACGGAGCAGCACGGGTCCGTACCCGGCTTAACGCCAGCGGCGGCTGTTTCAACACTCCGATACCGGCTCAGCAGGTCCCGTGTCTTGCAGCTTGGACTGTAGGGCACTTCCTTGTGACACATGAGTCACGGCTACTTGTTTCCAAAGCGAGCACAGAAAAGTGTGCTTTGGAAGGGCAGAAACCAGGGCTCCAGAGCTGTTTTTTCCTGATGGTGACTAATTCTTTCAGACTGAAATTTTGCAGATTGAAACCAACTGTATTTGTGGATCCAGAACCAGCAAGTGAATCACGTTCTCCTGTGCCTTGGCCATCTCTAAGCAATAGACATCTGTGCTCCAGAGCGAAAGGGAGCTTCTCCAGCCTTGAGAGTTGATTCTTTTGCCTTTCAAACACCAAGACAACCATCATTAATCTTCACTGGGATAATCCTGAGTTGATCCAAAAACAGTTTTGTCCAGGAAACAGGAAAAAGATCAACCATCATGATTTCTGAACCTCAGATTAGAAAAACATGGAAGTTAATTACAGAGAAATATTCAGCTATTTTAGCTACAGCATTTCGAGGAACTGTGCATTTCCTCAAGAGAGATGAAATGAGCCTAAAG